CAAAAAACCCAAGTATAACACATTGCTAAAAATAATGTGGTAATAGAGCTTGCAAGATTATTTTCCTACTATCTGAAGAGAAAAATCACACAGGAAATGAATTTAGACAGGAAAATTCAAATCTAGGCACAAGTTAAGGGCACCTTTCCCATTTCTTTTCACAAACACCAATAAGGATTACTCCCAAATCTTAACCTCATGACTAGGAAGCATCTTTCTACTTGCAACTAGCAATCATCACCTTCACCAAGATGGCAATAAACAGGTTTTTCCTGAAAGGTGTTGGAACAATGTGTTGACCATATTCTACAGTTTCTCCAAAGACAAAATAGAATACAAAAAAAATCTATCCTAAGATCATTCCCACTCCATCAGAAAAACAAATAAATCTACAAAGAGGGAGGAAATCTTATGTGGAGGCTTTTCCCAAAGTTTCTTCAAAATCTCAATTCTATTAAAGCTAGAACCATCCAACCCATATTTGCAAGTCAGAAAGTTAGTTTCTCCCCTTTCTAAGTCAAAGAAAATGTTTCCTATGCAAAAATTCCTTTTGGGATTATATTTAAAAAAATAAAATGGAATGAGATGGCATGTTGAGATGGTTCCAACAATTCACCATGAGTGTCAGAACTGAAACACTGCTGTGACTTTGTTTGCAAATAGAAGATGTGGTACAGAATTTAAGCATCAATAAACTGACAACATGAGGAGAGTTTAAATTAAAGTAATGAGAATTACTTGCCTAGTTAAGACAACTTGACAAATCTGTGGTACCTGGGTCTAAAGTAAGGGCAAATGGGGCTGGTTCTAAGTCCTAAAGTATTTCCTACCATTCAGTTTTAGGTTAATCTTTTTAACAGAGACATGTGTGACTTCCCAGTTCTTAGCTAATAGAAGCAAGAGCACAATTAAGCAGTAGATAACAGTGTTAGCATACAAACTAGGCAACTCTCCTCTACTTTCCTGCAAAGACAAGGGACCTAAGCATCCCACTAAAGTGGTGCTATATTCACACATCATTGTTGGCAGTTGTCCTAATTCACTATTTGATTTGGTCACCAGAATTCCAGAATCAGTTTGGCAAGACAGGATTCCCCCCCCCACCCCCGCTTAATGTAAGGATCAAATCATTCCTGTACTCACAAGAATATGGACCCTGTTTTTTTTTTTTTTTTTCCTTTTGAAATCAGGACAATAAAACCAAAAGTCACAGTGTTGATACATTCTACACATGAAGTAAAATAACACATATGAAAGCACCTAGCCCAGTACCTGGTATATAGCAACCGCTCAAAATTAAAAACAAAAGTACTGACTTGAACATTATCTTAGTTTAACATTTAAAGTTGATAAACAAATATAACCTATTATTTTTCACTCTCAAAACCCTGCAATCAGCTTTTATGTTTGTTTGTTTGTTTGTTTTAAGAGACAGGGTCTGTTGATATTGCACAGGCTGATCTGAAACTCTAGGCTCAAGTGGCCCTCCGCCTCAGGCCTCCAGAGGACCTACAGCCCTACAATCAGCTTTGTTCAACACTTGTAAAGGTTGTAAAAGTTTTTCTTCCATCTTCCACACTTCTTGGAGACCTTCTCTCCTCATCCCCAAACTTGCCTATGTTATAATGACTTGAGGGTACACAATGCTATAGCACAGTGGTTAAGGGTTGATTCTTATGTGTGAGTAATAATAATTTCTACCTCAGGACTGTTGAATGAATTAAGTGTGTTAATATGTGTCAAACACTTAGAACCGAGCAGGCATCTTAGCTCTCATTAGATGCATACTACTTTAATATGCTGGAAAATAGGATTTGAGGCATGGCATCTGAATTCATACAATGAAGTTTTAGGCTAAGCAAAAATACCCTATAAATACATTTTAATACAAAAAAATTCTAAAATGCAATGCCTTTCCATACAAGTTATTGGAGGGAGCATTATTCATATATTTGGAATCTTCTCATGCTTTATAACCATGGGTAAAAGGAAATGTTGAGATTAGACAAAAAACTAATTAAAAATGTCATCATTAATTTTAATTCTGTGTACCCAAGCCTGCAGTAAACAAAGATAGAAATAATTCTGGTTCTTTTCAAATTAAAATAAACATTGCCCAGTAACAGTTACATTTCAGGGACATAATTCCCTTTAATATAACAATTCCATGCTAACCTCTGGTTGAATATCAATATTATAATGTAACCATGTTAAACTCTAGCCTATAATTTCTGTAATATATTTCAAGATCTCTCCATAACATCTTAGGAATTCTTTTCAGCAGCAATTGAAATTTAATGACTAATGTCTATAAACTTTCTTTCCTAAAATTATTAGTGCTCAAATTATAAATTTAAATAAGCCAGGAATGTTTAGAAAAAAAGAGTATGAATTACAGTCACCCAGTTGAGGTTTCACAGTAGGCTGCTTTAGGATCATAAGGAACTTTAGGGATCACCTGGGTCACCTCCACACTTTATGAAGAAACTGAGGCCTCACAATGCTGCTTCTGATAGAGCCACGACTTCAACCTAGGTCTCCTGGGTCCCAGTCAAAGAAATGTTCCTTCCAGTCTTTTCATATCAAATTTAACCACGCAATTTATATCAACCCAGAGCACTTTTTGCCAAAAAGTAGTTCAAAAGAATTATTGTTTAAAACACACACACACAAACACACACGAACTGCATTCATTTAAGCAAGCACCACAGTCCTAAGTTTATTTACGTCTTATGAACTTTTTTCAAATTTCAACTAGGAGTTGTTTGTTATAGAGATTTTTTCTCATATTACTTATTTCTCTTGTGACTTTCGAATCACCCCACGGTTTGTTTTCTCTCCCAGCCCCCCCCCACACACACACACTCCTAAAACTGGTGATGAAAGAGAGCAGAAATGAGCAGTTTACTTTCTAAATCTATCCTACCATATTTGAGCCATGTACTTTGACCTTTTTCCATTCTCAACAAAATAGACAAGGGAAGGGTTAGTTTCTAAGAATATCTTTTAGTATTAGCCTATTATTTTATAAATCAGCTTAATCTCCAAAGAAACTGATCAAAAAGATTTCACATTAAATACATTCCATTAACCCCGCACAGAAAAATATTAATGTACACATGTGCATATTTAATTCATTCTCTGAACTTTTTATTTTTCCCAAAGCAAATTTTTATCATAAGTCAAAAAGCTGAGAATGAGAGAAAACAATCATGAGTTTGCATAAATTTCATTCTGTCATCATATAATAGCAAATTAAGAATGAAAATTATGTTTAATTCTGAGCCAAACTTTAATTCAGTTAAAAGCTATAGAATGCCACCTTGGATTTTTAAAATTAGCAATACATAAATAATTCATAGATGTTACCTTTCCATTACATTTCCTTTAAATTTACGTTCAAAGGAATATCAAGAGCAACTTTTTATAAATAGTCCTTATAGGACTGTCAATGTCTTAGCCATTTATCTGACCACTAAAACATGATAATTCCTCTTTATTTTGAGTAAAAATGGTGTCTAAAACCAAATGTCAACAGCTGCTCAACAGGCAACACAAGCATTTTTTAAAATCTAAAACTAAATTTAACTAAATATTTTAAGCTACATTGCACCTGAATTCTTAGGGTAGAAACAGATATTTAATTCCACAGAATAACAGGATTCTCTTGGCAAACTTCCTGTCCCACTAAATAGTTACTAATAAAAACATATTTAGGCTTATGCTAACATGGAATTTGGAAACACTACAACTATTTTGTACTGTTTTGTCCCTTACAGAAAGAGCTCTAAATAGCCCTCCAGTTGCAATATGCGTGTCTGTATTACACACACAGTCACATATTTTTAATCCTTGTTTTTTAACCTAGAATTCATACCCATAGCAGCTATAATTTCCTTATCTGTAAAATGGGGATAATAATAGAACTTACCTTGTAGGGCTGTTGTGATGACTGACTCAATGTTATCTTACCACCTAACTTTTCTAAACATACATAAATGATCATACTCCCAAAGTATAAAAATTTAATGAGGCATGTGATACTCAGCTAATGATGAAATTCCCTTTATCTTGTTTCTATCAACTAAACTGGCTGCTCATTAGTTCAAAATGTCCAACAATGTGACTCTTGCCAGAGAGAGGATATACTGGTAGCAAGAAAGACAAGTGATCTTTGCCTGCATCTATTTTTAGGAATGGTTTAATTATCTACACCCCTAGTGTTAACACTGGAAAGTAAACAAATGGGTGAAAGGCGTCACCAAAAAAAAAAAAAAAAGTCACCATGAGATTAACAGTTTCATAGTATTCAAAAGAAATTATTAGCCTGCTGGAGGAGAAGGGCCCGGGTTCAATCCCCAGCACCACAAAAAATAAAACAAAAACGGTGATCAAATTACACTTTAGATCACCTCTCTCAGGAGTAGTCCTTACTGACACAAGGCGGGCCAGAATTTGCACAGGTCTGAGAGGAATTAGGGATTGACGAATAAGACTATCCAGGTTTAAAATACAACCTAGTGAAAAAACTGGAATTCAATAGTCAATTTTCAGTGAATCACTATCTTAACAGTGTCAAAAGAAATTTTTTTTTAAAGTTACACAGTTACTTCATATGGAAAGAAAATATTCACTGGCTTCTACAATGAAATACATTTACATTTATATATTGTTTGTTCTCACCTAACTAAGCAGGGAAAACTGACCCTGATTTCTCTTGTCAGGCAAGAAAGATACTATAGTTAATAATCATGACATCACTAGCTACCTGGTATGCATAATTATCTATGGAAAAATTAAGGCTATAATTAGAAAATTGCCAAAGAATCAGCTGAACATTTTGTTCCAAATTACACTCTTCTGATAAAGTCTGGAAATGGCTTCATTTTCTAAGAAGAGCTCTGAGGTGAATATGGACAATTCGAACTCTTTAGTTCCAGAGATATTACACCATACTATTTCCTTATTCATCTTAATCTATTAATGGAACATAATCTTACCGGAAAAGGAAAAATATTGTCAGCCCTGTTCAAGCTATCTTCCATCCAGGATTTTGGAGCAAAGGCAGAGGTGGGACGAGCATACTTTTGGAGCTGAATGTGATTGCTTGCAAAATTTTTCTTCAAAGGTGAGATGGAGTTCAGGGGTGTTATTCCACCATTCAGCCCTCTGCGGTGATCTCGGCCCTGGGAGCCTCCCCAGCCTCCGTATCCACCACCTCCTGGGCTCCAGGAAGATGAAGGGGTTGGAGAGGGACTCTGGTAGCTGCTCCACGGAGAGGGGGGTTTGTTAAGATTATTCGCCAAATGAGGCAGCTGGTTAAAAGCAGCACTCCTGTGTGTGAAGGGAGGCGGGTGGGGGCTGGCAGGAGACCTCCTCTGCTGTTGATGCTGGCTGTGATGATGCTGGAAATGAGGGTGGTGAGGGTGGTGCTGTGAGAGGGGCCCGATCTGAGGGGAGAAGCTGCCTCCAAAGCCAGGGCTGACATGATGGGGGAAATTTTGAAACAACAGAGCACCGTTATTAGCTGAAGCAGCAGGGACCCCTCCCTGGTGAAAGAAACTTGCATCCTCATTGATTATTGTAGATGAAGAAGGCGCTATGGCTGCTGACCAGTTACTGAAACCAGTAAGAGAGGATGCACTAGATGTCAAGGGTTGGGTCGAAGTACCTAGCCCTGTGGCTTCTTGATAATCAAACCCTGTCAAAACTGGTGATTCAATTCGTATTTTCTCCTTCCCATTGCTGTTTTCTGAAGAACTGTCCCCTTGGTTTTCTTCAGACTTTGCCTTCTCCGTTTCAGGCAGTATTCCAGCTTCCTGACCTGGACTCGGGGAGAGCTGCTGCTTCTCTAAAGGGTCTTGCTGTTCCTGTTGCTGACTTTTGGCTTTTTCTGACCCCAAGATCTCATCCTGAATGTTATGGGTAGCTGGAGCAGGAAAGAGCCAAGCTGACCCAGCACTGCTGCCATTGGCAGCTGTGTTATTATTTATAAAAGCAGCAGGGTTGGGGGTGGCATTCTGGTGATGGTGTGGAGGTTGCAGATGTGGATGGAATCGGACTGGAAAAGCAGATTTGTTCCCAGTATTGCTTTGCACTAGCACTCCAAACCCGTAATCCCCCATTTATTATTTTTAGGATCAGAATCTCACAAAAAAAAAAAAAAACACACACACAACCTGATGTCTCACACCGTTTTTGTTCCTCTACTCCAATTTAAGTTGCTTGTTTGTTTTCTTGAAATATCTTATTTATAGCTAGCTCAAAGATCCTAGCTTATCACCATAAGTAGCTCTGATTTGGAATTCTGGTCTCTCTCTGAAAGAAGAAAAAAAGCAACTAAAAAAAATCTCTTAAAATATTGACATGAATCCAATTGGGCTGATTTCTAGGAGGGAATAAAAACGAAGAGGGTAAAAATCAAGTCTTTGGTTAGTAAAATAGGCGCTTTCTTTTTCCAAAGGAAAATACACATGAATGACAAAAACACAGCTTCTCAAGCATCTATGGATGTAGAAGAATAAGCATTGCTCGGAGTAAAAATATATATATGTGTATATATATATATATATATATATATAATTTAACAATCACATATGGTCTTCCTCAGCAGTTTAGATTCACTCACATAAAAATTAGAATAGTGCTAAGGGGGAGAATACGTTCTTCTCTTCTTGGCAGCTTGGTTAAAAAAATCAGGAATAATTTAAGAACATTATATATTATATATTTATATATATATAGATTATATTAGGTTATCTGGGGCGGGAGGTGAATTCTTGGTTGCGGGAGAGGAAATCAGCATTGACTAAAGGAAAGACGATTGCAGGGAGGTTTCTGCTGTTCCTGGTCCTGTCTCTGCTCCTTCGCTGGGCGCAGTTCTGGCCTCCGGGGCTGTTCCCGAGGCTCCGGGTGCAGATCTTGCTGCGGTCGCTGTTCTCGGGCTCCCCCCGGCCTCCTCTCCCCCATGAAAGGGGCTGGAAACCCGCGTCTGCCCCTCTCGGGTTGCGATCGGGAGGGGTTAGCGGGACAGGGCGAGCGGGCGGGCCGGGGGTGCGCGGACCACGGGGGCGAGCGGGCAGGTCCTGCGGTTGCTGCCTCTTCCCCTCTCTGCGGCTCCGGGGTTTTTCTCCCTCATGGGACCCAGGGGCGGTTTGTTCAGTTCTCCCAGTTCGATTCTCCGCAGGGGTGGGGGTGGGGGGCGGGGAGGAAGGAAAACCCCACTACGGCAGGTAGACTACAGAGAAAGGCCTCTCCCCCCCCCCCCGGCGCTCTCTCGGCTCCCCCGGGTTTTTTTAAACTATAATTTAGAAGGCTTTTGTTTCTCCTCACGGTTGCTGGGCCGTCGTTGTCGTCACCGCCGCCGCCGCCGCCGCTCTACCCCGGTCCCGCAGTCCCAGCTGTCGTCGTTGCGGACTCCGCCTGGCTCTTCTTTTTCTTTCCTTCTTCCTCCTCTTCCTCCCTGCTGTCGCCGCCGCCGCCTCCCGGTGCCCGGGTCCAGCAGCCGCGGCTGAGTCCTTCTCCTCAGGACCGAGCCGAGTGAAATGACAACCAGCTGGAAAGACCAAGAGACACTTCCGGTTCGAGGAGGGAGGGGTGGGGCGCCGCTTGAGCCCCGCCCACATTCCGGAAGACCAATGCGCTGCTAGCGAGCAGACCCAGCCCCGCCTCCTGGGCGCGGAGCCCCTCCTAGGAAGGTCAAGAAGTTGCCTGGAGAGACGCCCCTTCCGTCTGCGCCTCGCCCAGTGAGGCCGGGCGCCTAGAACCTGTCCCCCAACCCAGAGACGGCGCAGTAAGCCGCCATCTTTTATGTGGGCAAAGGGCCCCTTCGATGTTTATCTTCCCGAAACAGGCTCCTAAGGAGGATTATCCAGGGACACTTGGGAGAGAATGGGCTTCTAGCATTCTGTGGCATAAAGTCAAGGTGTTGGGGATCGAAGTGGAGATCTATGAAACGGCCGATGAACGAGAGGACTGCCCTTAGTAAAGGTGGTGCCCCAAGCGTCACGTGCTCTGGCCCGAGCTCCGCCCCAGAGGGATCGGGATAAGGAAGCGAGTCTTCCCAGCAGCTGTGCGGTGCCCGGCTCTGCGTAGGTCTTTGCCCAGAATGTGGACCTTGTGATGGATTCTCCCCTCACCACCATCCCCCACCCCCAACTGTCCCATGCTGTCTTAGAGGTGTAGCTGCGGTAAGCAGCGTGGCTGCCGTCTTCTCGCTGGTGCTGCTCTAGCCTAACGCATTGCAGAGGGGCATTTCCTAAAGGAAAATTTAATCATGGTCCTCTGCTCATATCTCTTCTATGTCTGCACATTAACTCGAGGATAAAGGCCAGACTAGGTCTGGTTCCTTTTCACCTTGTGGGCGGCATATCTTTAATGCCTCATCTCCCTCTGAGTATACTCTTAAGTGCCTTTCTATGTGTCCTTTACTCTTATCTCTGCCAAACTCCTGGTTTTAGAGGTCAGTTCGAAAGCCACCAACTCTGCTTTCTAAATTCTCTCTCGTGCGTGTCCACGGGCCTATGCACATCTCAGTCTTGCTTATCACACTATATGGTAATAGTCTGTCTCCCAGACTTGTGCTGGACTATGAGATCTTGGAGGAGTAGGCATTATAGATAGGAGGCATTAGTGAATGAATCCTGAAGACATGAATGGACAGACAGTGACAATGGAGTCTTTCCTAAGTGACAGCTTCTATTTTCGAATCTGAATTAATTTCATTCCTTATACCATTTGACTTGGGGCTCACATCTCAAATTTCTATCATGTAGGTTGTTTGCTTGCTGCTCAGTCCTGAGTGTCATTTTCATCTTGCACATTCCCAGCATTATGGTCACCATCAGGGCCTGAGATAGTTCTGCTCTTGGCACAAGCCTTAATGTTGAAGAATTGTTTTCCTTTAGCAGGAAATGAAAAAGAAACAAAGGGGGGAGGGGTATCAGTGTAGAAATGACTATGGAAAAATTAATGAGGAAAAGACATAGCGGTTTCAAAAGAATCCTGTAAGCAAAAGTGCCTTCAATGTCATTTCTGTATCCTTCCTGCAATGGCCCCAATTTATGTGCCTCAGTCTTTCATTTCTCCAACACCTATATGCAGCTCACCTGTGTGGGCCCTTAATCAGGGATTCTCTGTCATTGTACCATAAGTATGAGTCTTGTCTTTGTAATTCTATGAGTTACTAGAGCACAGAGATTGGATATTACTCTGGTGTTTTTTGGTTTTTGTTTGTTTGTTTTGGTTTGGTTTTTATTTCCCACCACCGGACATGCCTTGAGACCTACTTGGTTCAGCCAGGTGGTGTTTCCTCCAGAATGATTTCCCCTCCTTCCCTCCCTCTAGCATCTTGTACATTCTTTTTTTTTTTTTAATTATATTACTGATGGTTGTCAGTAGATTAGTTTCTTGAGGGTATAGGTTATGTCTGATTTGTCCTTATGCCCCAGTGACCAGGAGTGGATCAGGCACAGAGAGACTCTGGACATGTTTATTGAATGAATGGATGGATTCCCAGTAGATGGCAGAGGGTCTCTTGAAGGTACCAATTCTTCTCAGTAGCTACAGTGGCAGCTATGACTTAAGAGAAAAAGGGACTATCTTAGAACCAAACAGCCATGAATTTGAACCTCAGGTTTGCTACTTCCTCATTGTGCAGCCCTGGGCATCACTTTTACAAACCTTCCTTCCTCATAAAGCGTGTCCACCACCACCACTCTCACTAGGTTTGTAAATGATATGAGAGGCACAGAAGTACTGGGCTGATCGGAGGTGTTCAAAAAAGTCAATTCCCTATCAGCATATTAAGTGCAGAGAATTATTTCACAAGCATTTTCACACAGAAGCAGTCACATGCACTACAGAATCTGGGAGCCTGTCTTGATCTGTAGGAGGAGGAACCACACCCTGAGCCACAGTCAGGTGCTTCCAGGTCAGCCTGATCTTCTAGGACTAAATCCAGCAGGCAGTAGTTTCGGGCAGGGCAAGGCTGCAGCTAGGAAGATCACTGTAGACATTAGTCAGTTTCCTTGTTTGGTACTGGAGGCAGGAGAGAAGGAAGAGGGATTCAATTCTCTTAGATTTGTCGCCCACTCAGAAACCCAGGATACACAGCCCAGGACTGCCCTCCTTGGAAAAAATATCTGGCCTCAGAAACTGTCCCATGGTAACCATGACAACAATTCAGTGCTCCATTTAGGATCTCCAAAGGGATCTCCAGTTGCAGATGAGTGCTGGCTGGAATACTCTGCAGGGAGAAGAGAGCCCTTCCCATAGAGCATGCTCAACAGAAAGCTTTCAGGTTACGGGGAAAGCAAGCTCTTCCCAAACATTAAGGGTGCTACCAGATAACAAAACAAAGCCCTCCCTGTCCAGTGCACAAATACACCTTCAGAGAAGTTGTAGGCTGGCTAATGCCTGTACCTGTAGGCTGCCTCCCAGCCCCTCTGGGATTTGAGGTCAACCATGCCTCAAACCTGGAGCCTACCCGGAAGCAGAGCCTCGGTGCCTTCTCTACCAGACCTTTTAAAGTCTGGTGGAGGACATAAACCTCACCCTGTAATCACACAGGATGAACTCTGCTCCACCCCTGCTCTAATGTCCTCTCCACTGCCCTTGAACACACACTATCAGCCTTCTCCCAAGGGCCCACACCCAGCTACGAGGGCCTAGCTGATGACTATGGCAATCAGAGCCACCACCCTGGGCTGCCCATGCCATGCACTGTGAAGCTCCCTAAGGCACAAGGACTGGTCTGCGAATGTGGCCCATGGGAGCTAGGCGATGCATCAACCCTGCTGCAGTTCATTTCCATGACCCAGGGACACAAGGAAACATTGCATCCTGACACAAAGAGACACCACAATAGCGTGGGCCCATGTGCATTGCATGCAGAAATGTTTCAAGCAGTGGATCCTTTCAGCATTATGGCCCAGAGCTTTCTGTAATTGAATTGAAGGACACAGTGTCCTTGGTATTGGTTTCAGCTAGTGAGCTGTAAGGAGAAGACAGGTCCAGACAGGTAAATGGTCCAGTCTCCAAGAGATTAATACCCAGCAGTTACTTTGCCTGACAGCATTAATGAGCATTCTGGTGTAGTGGTAGACTCTAAAACATCAGATTCAAAGGCAGATCTATGAAGGCAGGGGAAGAGAGAAGGATGGAATTACTTTTGGAAGATACTCTTTTCCAAGAGTAGCTGGAATATTACTGCCATAATTACTGCAAGCTGGACAGAAACAAAACCAAGTTCTAAAAGCAGGTTTTATGAAATTGCACCTCCCATCTTCACCCCATTCCAATATTGGAAAGTGTGCATGTGGGTTTAGGAAGCACCCCCTTTTAAAACAACTAATTGTAGGTTGTGTTTTCTGCTTTTGTTGTTTTGCAACCTGTGCAAGCCCTCTGCCTTTTAACCACTGTTTTCCTCCTGCCCTCCCACTTGAGGTATTACCATTTGCATAGACTCCGCAGTTAACAAGCTCTTTCGCTGGGGAGTGGCGAAGCCAGTCCTCCAAGGCATCGTTACTGAATAACTGGTTTGGAAAGGTCCAGGACACGGACATGCTTCACTTGAAATGGCTGTGTCCTGGCAAAGATTTAGGTGAGCTGGCCCAGGGGGTTGACCTTCCAAACTGTGACGTGCATCACGCAGAATGACTTGGAGCATTCCGCGGCTGGCTCCCGGCCCCCTAAGTGAGCAGGCTGCTGACCTGGGTTACCCCTTTTGCTGTTTTGACTGGATGCACTTCACTTCCTCTATCAAAGCCACAGCCATGCCACCAAGCAGCTGCCGTCTCACACCCTGAAGCTGTGCTGGAGGATTTTCACCTGCAATGATGGGAAAAGAATAGCTTTCCCAAGAATGGAGGGAAAGTGTCAGGTCCAGAGGCCAGAGAGCTGGGAGTTGGAGATCAAAACTGTAGCCCCAACAAAGCTAGAAACTCACAGGCGCTGATAGAGTTTGTGTGATGACTTCCTTACGGCCAGAGTTTCTGCTAAAAAAGTTTCCATCTTGAATCATTAAGCAAAAAAAAAAAAAAAAAAAAAAGTCATCTCGATGTTTTTAAAAAGAAAAGAAGCCCACTAAAAATGATTCTTCCCTTTTATGTCCAAATCTCTTGCTCCGTGTTCTTGGAATATGTATGTTACTAGGAAACGATGGTAAGAAGTGATTTCTAACTGCTCAACTTCAATCTTTAGGGAGCCTTATACCCAGGGAAACTCATCAAATTCAGATTCCTAGGCCCTGTCCCCCAAGATAGAGGATATTTTGCATTTTTCTCATAGTATGGTTTCATAAAATTATGAAACCATAGGCTCAAAAGGGTTTCTCATGAAAATGTAGCACAGAAAAACTGAAATAGGAATGGTTAGAACAAAAATGTTCCTTGCATGAAAGGCCACACGTCCATTACACCAGTGGCATGAGATATTGGTCTTTACTCTGGGCTCACAACTGCTAAGTAAAAAGTTGGGATTCTAATACTAACAAAGGAGGAGGAGATGGATGCTTGGGGGTGGGGCACTGAAACCCAGAAAGATTTAGTGACTTACAGGTGCATCATGC